ATGCCCTCAGCGCAAACATGTTTCACAGAATCCTGAGTTTCAAATGTTACCTTGCATTGTTGTTTGGCGGCCATCTGGACGGAGACCAAGTCTTCAGTGCCGCAGTTGGCGAGGGCCTCCGCAACAGCAAGGTTCTTGGTGCCGCGTGGTGCAGTGAAGACGCAGGTGTTTCTTTGTTGTTGTTATTGTTGTTGTTGCCGTTGCCTTTGCCTCCCCCGGAATCGCCACCTGCACCTGTCATCGGCGGTGCTGGGGCTGGGTTTGTGGGGTCGGTGGCACAGGTGAATATGGAAGAGGTAAGCACTGAACATGAACAAGGAGAAAGAAAGCTGAAGGGAACGGAATTCAACAGAGAAAACAACACGATCAACATTCAAAGACCTAGACGATCAACGGCTAATTATTCAATGAATTATTACAGTACTGGATGTCAAGCACCGGCGAAGACACTGGGAAGAGAATATTTAACAACAACAGGAACAACAACAATAACAACAACAATGGTAACAAATTAGCATCAAGATCAAAGGAGGAGTCAACGAACAGAGGTTAAGTAACATGAAGCGAGCCTGGGACCGATCGGTGTGGATGAGGAGAATGACACGGGGGACGACACTGAGGACGAGTTGGAAGATGAGATGGAGGACGAAGTTGCGGTTGGTGGAGACGAGGAATCGGATGGTGATTGTGATCGTAAGAAGTCTGCCGTTTTTCTTCATCTGTTGTCTCACCCTAAGTGTCTGCAGGTGTATGATGATTTTAGTTTTTCTGTTCTTTGTCGTGCACGGTACGCTAGTCAGTTGAAAGTACTTGAGGCTGTTTGTATTCGTTTGCATAAGCCTGATCTTTGTAAGCAGAAGAAACAGTAGTTGCGTTAAGATTGTTTTCGTAGGTGCACAGCATGATTGTTTGTCTCAATACACAGTTCTAGCGTTGTAATTAGTTCCTCACCCCTGTTGCACTTAGCTCTCACTTCACTTCTATTGTCTCACCTTCCCTCATTCTATTTCAGCACTTTGTTTTGTTCTCGTAACACATTATTGAATGTATATTAATCATTGATTCAGCATGGTTACTCTTCAGTCACGGCTTTCCACTGATGATTGTGACAAGAAAATCGATTTTGGTAAACCGTCATGACTTTGTTGTAGTGTGGCGATGACAGCTTGCAATCAAAGCTGGACGGCAGGCACACCTCGACCTCCACATTACTTGCACTGGCACGCCTCTTGCCCAGACCAGCACGGCTCGCTACCTCGGAGTCACTCTGGACGAAAATCTTCGCTGGTCACCGCAAGTCACCTCTATCGTCCGACGCACGGCTATGAAGCTGCGGATCCTCCGCCAGATCCGGCACTGCCTAACAGTGAGGCAGGCGATGCTGTATTACTCTGCCCTTGTCATACCGGATATTCTATATGCGTCGAATGCGTTTTTCCCAGGACTGTCCGCTGAGCAGCGGAACACAGTAGCCAAACTGGATAAACGTTGCATCCGTTGCGTGGCCGATGAGCACCCATTGGCCCACACTCTTCCCTTGTACACCAGGCTGGGTGTCTGCCCAGTGCTGGAACGAGGAGAATGCAAGCTCCGACTCCTGACATTTAGAATCCGTTCTGGAATCGTCAGTGAGCTGTTGTCGTCCCGAATTGTATTGCAAGGCCCGCCGACAGCAATGACCACTCGAGGTCAATTGGGACGCAACCTTCCCCTCCCCCTGGCCCACAGTGCTTCTGGCGCATGCCGATCGCTTCTAGCCAGCTGCCGACTCTGGAATGGCCTGCCCGACTGTATGAAGTCCATAGTATCTGTCCGTGAATTCAAACGCATGCTACGCGTATTTTACTTCGGTTAAATGAAATGGCTTTCGTAACCTGCTGATGAGGCTCGATAGAATCATGCTACGATGACCCGACTTGTAAATTTGAGATCCATTTTTTTCTGCTCGTCTTGACCCTGCCTCCCCTCATTGCTACTTCCATTTTCGTATTTTTATTTTCATTTATTTTTCTCTTCATTTCTGACTCTTCTTACTGGTTGTCATCGCTTCCATAATATTGGGCAGAACTGCCCGTTTGCCTTGCGATGTAAAATAAATAAACAACAACAACAACAACAGCAGAATTTGTTCTCTTTATAGCTATTATAAAATTGTTGTCTCCACGTCGATTATTTACAAAATTATTATTATTACTTCAGTATTAATAATATTCTGACCTCTTTTTGCAAATTGTCTGTATGTGCCCAATGCGTTCCACTTGTTGTGTAGCTTTTGACTTCGTACTTCTCGGCTGTAGTTTATTAGTAGAATAGTACAATATGCATATTTGCTCGTATTATAGTCATGTACAATCATGTATGTCCGCGGATTTTGACACGCCGTAGGTCTACGGCAACTATGTGAACAATGTCATGACTGTATCATTATTACAGTACAGTACTCAGCAGTTTTCGAGTCTTATTTGGTGAATTAAATTGTTGAAGTTGAAGACACCACTGCAGCCGTACTTATGGTTGATAAATATGGTGGTAAAGACACACCTGGCAATATGGCGGTAAATATACGCCTGCCCACACACGCTCTCGAGGCTCCTTCTCACCACCACCACCGCCATCAGTTCGCGCGCCTGGCGCCTAGTCGATGCATGGTTGGCGGTATCCGACAAAGCAGGCTGGTACATCAAGTAGCTCAGTATGAAGACATCCAAGAAGAAGATTGCCTGATGAGTCCAGCGCGGACGAAACGGACGTCCAGCACATGCGCCAAGAGTGAATAGCAACTGCATTGAGCGGTTGTCAGTTGACAAACCCCCTTTAATTTTCATCGACGTTACTGAGGAAAGGCGCTGGGTGGATCTTTCATGCCGATGACCCATTGTCATCGGGGAGGCTAGATTCGTCAACGTGTGTGTTCTTGCCACAAAGCCAGAAATGTCAAGGAGAAAGATTCGGGAGGCGATCAAGATCCGTGACATGGAGTCAAATATTAACACCAGCAGTGGATGGAATCTCCTGCCAACGGAGATTGCCTGGCTTGGTATCGGAGTGATAGCTATCCGTGTTGGTTGGTTGGTTGGTTGGATTTTTATTTCACTTCGCACATTCAAACGTCATGACGACCCAATAAAATGACACCGAAGGCTTAGCCTAGTAAAGGCTATGGAAGCACACGTGTGAAACCTTAGCAGCCACAAATTGTACCCATCACCACCCTAGTCGTTCACATTATAGTTATGAGAACTGTCACCACTATTGTGATCATATGACATGATTGTGTGATTGTTCGCTTGAGGGTTTCTTTCTCTACCAGTGTTCCGCACGCACCTAGGCAGCTTGCTTTTCTAAAGTCATCCTTGCTTCCTTGTCCACCTCATCTTGAAGATGGTCAGAGTGACCGAAACATTGAGAAAGAACCGTTTGACTTTGTGAAGTAGCAGTGCATGCGAGTGTTGGCCAGTGCTGCTATAATACGAGTTGTTTTTATAGTTCCTCTTGTCCCCCTTCTCACCTTCTTTTTCTCTCGTTTTCCCCTTTTTCTTATCTCCCCTTGTGCATAAATTCTTTGCTTAATTTCACACCTAGTTGTAGTGGCTATCACCCTTATGATGCTACGTATCCTCGTATTTTATTGGTTCTGGTTGCTCGTAATTCAGTTGAAGAGAATGGTCGAAAACTGGTTCATGAAATTGGAACTCCGTATTCATGATGATAGTGAAGACTAACCTGAGATTTGTAGTTTACACTTGTGTGTTTATACTTGTGTGTTTATACTGGTGTGTTTATACTGGTGTGTTTATACTCCTTGTTATACTAAATACAAACTGTTTTAGCTCCTAATGAAACCAAGAAACCAACAACCGTTCAACTTGGAAGGCTCGGGTAAGGAATGGTCCAAGAGGGTAAGGAATGGTCCAAGAGGGTAAGGACTGGTCCAAGAGGGTAAGGAATGGTCCAAGAGGGTAAGGAATGGTCCAAGAGGGTAAGGAATGGTCCAAGAGGGTAAGGAATGGTCCAAGAGGGTAAGGTAAGCGTACCGTTACCTTACCTGGGCCTTCCTAGTTGGAAGGCTGTTAGGCTGTTGGTTTGTACGTCGAAGGAGTGTAACAGGGGATTCACACGACGGGCAAATTCACGTGCGTGGTACTCCGAGGCTTTTTACTCGTGTGACCCTAGCGCGTGCAAAATCTTGATAAACTTGATCGAGGGTCCTGGGCCAACGTTTGTGCTTTGCGCGCCTGTAAAAATAGTGAGAGTACTTGAGTATGGTACTAGTACTCAAGTTCAGGAGTACACAGACGCATACGAGATTTGCACGGGTCTGTTGTCTGTGGGAATCCGATGGGCAGCTTGTCCACTTTAATGTGTTTTTGTTCATTTTCACGTCGTGTGAATACCCTATGAGAGCTACATGTAGGTGTCA